CATTTGAAGCGAATGGTTACTGGTTCGAGTTACAGAATGTACATCAACAAGTCTGAGATGCAGGTATATCCATCTGACGAGTCCCAACTAGGACGAAACGCGCGTGAAACTGGATTCAACTGCTAGTTACTATCCATTTTTTCTTATTCATAACTTTGCCAAACTTATATATTTATGAACTTGACCATAAATAATATGAACACTCAGTGGAAGCATATAAACTTCATGTCAGTATAATACATTATATTAGTACACAGGTAAAATTACCCCAACATTTCATTTTCTTACAATTAAGAACATTGTACTAGATCGACTATTCAATCATTTAAGCTGTGATATGACAATTAAAATACTACTCCCCATCATTTATACCACCATTACCATCCTTATAAATTGTTCAGGTTTACAGTTAATAATTTTCACTACTGCTCAATACTGTACTAAATGTTTAAAAGTAGATAGTTTTGTGTTTAATTATTAGTTTGTTGGAAGTAGTCTATCAGAAATCCTGCAGCTAGGTTTTATGCACGTTGACACTTGTCAGCAAGATATATCGACAGTTTGGAGAGGTCGAGAGGACCACAACTGACTTCATGTGGAGCTGAGATATTAATACTGACTGACCATTGAGTGTTGACCAGTATCATGTTTGTCCAGTCCTTAGCACAGATTGAATCCTATCTATTATTTTGTAATACAACCACTAGTCTAAGTTACTTATGAGATAAGTGTCCTACATTATCCAGTCTTACTGTTCAAGATGTTGTTATTGGGTCATTTAGACCACACTGCAACTTCATTTATAAAATTCCATTATCAATAAGAATTGGACAAACATGACATTGATCAACACTCAGTGATCAATCAATGTAAATGTTTTATTCAACCAAAAGTCATTTGTAGTTCAAATACCTCAGTTGTATTTTCTGTAGTACTTTTTAGAAATGATTCTCTCTAAGAAGTTGACTAACTTTTCTCCCTCCCTCTCTCCCTCTCTCTTTATTATACATCGATTTTCTTCTTATTCGAACATGAACATGATATCAAATTACATTATGTACTCTATATGATTTATCGTTTACCGAAGTGTAATATTCCAGATTTGATCACCATAGAAACTTTTTTTTCTCTTCTCTATGTTACATGATAAGTTTGAATGAACTGTTTCTATTTAAATTTAAGAGTTGATTTCTTATCGGGTTTGACATAGTGATTAAGTTTATATGATCAACTTTCATCATAAGTTTATGTTTATTAATTAGATAGAAACATTTGTGAAGATTGTAGTATTTAAACAGTTATCCATATCAAACAATAAATAAAGGTTTGTGCGAGATCATGGATCAATTAAAGATAAACATTAACACCGTTGAATACTGGATCAATGGTTCAGAAGTTAAGCGTTCGTGCGCGAAACCGAAGGTTCTGGGTTCGATTCCTTTTGGTGTGGGATCGTGGATGCGCACTGTTGAGGAGTCCTATATTGGGGGCGAAACGACTGTCTAGTTCTTCGAAGTTTTCAGTGATGGTTTAGCTTAGATCAACTCGTGAATTCAACTGAGATTATAAATTTAAGAAAATAGTGGTGGATTACAATTGAATTGAATAAATGACATAGTATATCATTTTATAACCAATGGATTGAATTGATACTGGTTCCATTCAATAATCGAATTAATTGTCTAACTAAGATTATTATGTGGTGAAATCGATGCAAACTCAACAATCTCCACGAAATCTGTTTACTAGTAATGATTCTGTATTTATTATTGACTAACTTCAAAATGAGATTCTAGGGGTTCTAGTGAAAGACCGTGACTATTGGAGCTTAACTATGCAAGATGTGAGATAATCATCCCTCACACACAACTGAAGATAATTGCACAATACCAAGAATTTATTTAAGTTCAACATAAATATCATTGAATCCCGGTTTAATGGTCTAAAGACCTGTATGTCATGGTCTCGATGCTCTATGGTATCATAAATGCTCAATCTTGAGGAGTCCCATACCGAGACGAAAAATCTGTCCGGCACTTCCTGATTTTCAATGGTTGTGTAAACTAAGATCACTTCATAATGTTAACTTTAAGAAATAGTAGTATACTTAGATAATATCAAACTGAAATTACACAGCAATCAATCAATCAGTGTAGCAACGTCAGGAGATGCAGTCCCATGTTAGTCGGTGACAAACAATAGGTTCACACGCCATTTGTTCCCTCAGGATTCTGGAGCATATGTTCACCATTGGGTTGGAATCATAGTTTTCCAACTCCCATAGGTGGATCCTCTGTATAAACCAACCCAGTTTAAGCACCGGACATTCTCTTTTCGTTCTCTGAATTTCGTAAAAAATACCGGCGGTGCGAGATGGCAGTGAGTAGGACTTCCCTGTCAGTGATTGTATGCACGTGGCTATGTGAGAGCATTTGGAGAGGGTGGAGCTGATTCTCCCCATCCTCAGCTATACCAGAGCAGTTGAAAAAACTGTTATATTCTGTAAAGTTCCACAAGTATTATTTTGAACAATGAAAGTGATGATGTGTGATCTGTTTAACATGGATAAAGGAATATTTTATCAAGAAGAATTAATGACTTCAATTCATGCCTTTATTGAATAGACTTTATATAATCCTTTGTAAATACTAACTTTTTCTTTTCATCTACCCAGCTAGTTAACTGTCTACACAGTAGGAATTCTTTTTCTTTTCTTAATATTATGATCCATTATGTCAATCAGTCTACATCGTCTAAACAAGATTCTTTTAAAACCATATCCTATGCTTTTCTTTATTTTAATATAAGAAAAAAGTTTTATACATAAACAATAAAAGACTAATATGAGTTTGTCTGTCCGTAAACAACAAAGTAGAGCTTCGTACGTACGTACATCAGTTCAAGTTGCCATACGACATTTGTACAGAGATGCAGTGGTCGATTCAAATCCCGTAGTCGTAGAGATAGTAAGAGTATAAGCAGTAGTCGGAAACATTACTATTTGGAAATGTTATTCAAGGAGTATAATCTAGTGAAATAAATTTGGAAAGTGAAAAAAAGGGATACGAAGAATTCAGAAGATTAGAAGTTAGGAGAACACAAAGAGTGGATGCACCCATGCACACTATTGCAAACGATTTTGAATCATATCACTCCAGGTCTTTAACCATCGGTTGCTATCATCTCGCGGATCTCAACCAGGTAGTCTACACCTACCAACATGACTCAGTCCACTTGCCAGTGACTTCATGGGTTTTTGCCATATTTTGGTCTGGGCGCCATTAGCTTTCTTCCAACCTACTCCTTCACCAGTAAACATCGCACGTCGAGGCAGTCGGTAGTTAGGGATACGTAACACAAGTCCCAGACATCGCAGCCTACGTAGTCTCACTGCTACATCAATTGATTTGCCATCCTTACCTAATACTTGTTTCTTAACAACTGTATTACTTACTCGGTGGTCCCGGGATATACGAGCAATGTTTCGAAGACACCTGTGGTCGAATACTAGTAACCTACGAATATCCTCTACTCTTACCGGTCATGTTTCACTGCCATAAAGTAGGACGGAACGAACTGCTGCACAGTAAACCCGTCCTTTGGTTGATAGACAGATATCTCGCCTATGCCATAAATGACGCAAGTTGGCAAAAGCTAGCCGAGCCTTCTGTATCCATGCTGAGATTTCGTCACACACCAGACAACAAAGGCTGGTGATTTTGTAATTTCCCATTGTTAATATTCAAGTGAGCAATCTGTGTTGTTGTACATAAATTCCAAATGGATAGCTTCTACATACTCCTCAGTTCCTACTGACAGAATATTTGGTATGCGGTTAGAAGGGAAATCCAGGATACATATTTCATTCTATTTAAGGCTCATTAACTAAATGCGTCTGTATCCTGAAGAAGACACATTATTAGTACTAATCTTTCTCACAAGCTATTCTGTCTGAATTATCTTAGTAGAAGTGTCTAAAGTTCCCACTTAGCCTAAAAACAAAACATAATAGATCCCTTGTTGAGTTATATAGATTGGTGGTCACATTGCAAACTTGATCGATGAAATTCGAAAAACATTAAAAGAGTAATGTGAAATTGGTCACTACTCAGTAATCATCAATGGATGAGTTTATTATTTTATAGTAAGCTTATGTATATAACAAAAAAAGAGAAAAAACGTAAAAGTAAACATGATTAAACGTGATTTTAAACATAAAAAACTATTGTAAGATACAGTAGTTTATAGGTCATTTACTTGCTAATTGGTGAAATTAAAATTCCACATATCAGGCTTAATTCTTACCAACCATATAAAGAATAATTTTAATAGTTGTGATCATGAGTCAATTGAAGTTAGACCACCATCGAAAACCTGGAAGTACTGGACGGCGGTTTTGTTCTATTATGGGACTCATCAGCAGTGCTCACCCATAATCCTGCCTTGCGAGATTCAAACCCAGGATCAGGATACTAATCAACATATGCTTACTACTGGCTGGCTTCATGAGTTATTTCCTGGAGTTCTAGTGAGAAGCAGTGACCAGTGGAGTTCAACCGGGTGGGTTATGAAATAGTAACTTACTGAAGACAATGGTGAATTTGTCACTCAATTTCGTGGATTAGTTGAAGTTATACATTAACATCCTTTGATGCCGTCAAGTTCAGTAGTCTAGAGGTTAAGCATTCGCGCTTGAGACCGATAGCTCTTGGGTTGGAATCTCGCTAGGCGGGAACGTGGATGCACACTGCCGAGGAGTCCCACAATAGGATGAAACGGCCATTCATTGCTTCCAGGTTTTCCATGATGGTCTAGCTTCAAATAACTAATGAACTCAACTATTAAAATTACTATAATATCCACAAAACCCCTTGCTGATATAAAGAATACTTACTCATTTAGACCTATAGTTTTTAACGTTTATATAACATATTATTCACATAGCTTCAATGATTTAACCTCTTTTATTTTGATTTCAATTGACTATTTAATTCTTTTAGACTATTTCATCTGAACATTTAAATTATAACCAAGTAACTAGTACAACAACAACAACAACAACAAAATCATCAATAGCAACATTCACAACAAATACAACAATGACAACACAAATAAATTCGAATGTTTATGATTTACCTGAACCAGAATGGATTACAAAACTATTGAAACAATATTATGAATATAATATAACTCATAATAAACAAAATATTCCATGTAGTTTATTTGGTAATGATTATACTCACCTACAACAACAACAAATGCTACGAATGATGGTGTTGGCGGTACTGGTACCGGTACCAATCATGATGCCAATAATCTTGGCTATTGTACTAATATCACAGGACTATTACCATTTGATTTTGAACAATATTTATTTGATCAATTCGATTATGAAGAATTATGTACAGATTCAATGAATTTACCTATTCAATTTACACCAAATACATTAATGTTATTTTAATTAGTTTAGCTAATTTCACTCCATATACACGTTTATCTGATATAGCTAAATGTGCTCAATTAACATTATATCGTTTATTAACTAGATTAGTACGTTATCAAACTGATTGTTTAGTATTACAAGCTAATTTAACTGAAATTAAATTAAATGCTGATCAAATGCAATGTCAATTAAATCAAATTGAATCAAATTATTCAATTATGAATCGAGCTATACAAATATCTGAATCTGCATTAGAAATTAGTGATTGTTTAAATCAGGTAAACGTATATATGAATTTTATTTTGTTTGAATACATTGATATTGGTACAAGAAGGCATTAAATACATATACTGCCTGGGTGCTCAAACCTAAGCAGGTGGTTTTCTTAGAGGCCACATCTGGAGCCTTCGACCTGAAGGTCTAATCCACAAGGTAGTGGAGCATCGTAAAGAGATGCAGTACCATGGTAGCCGGTGACCAACGATTGGTTCATACGTTGTTTGTCCCCTCAGGATGTGATCTATTTGGGTCCAACGTTGGGACGAATTAGGGGGTCACCATGTTAAAATATGTTTTTCCTTATGCTGAAAGTTAGTATTTGTAAGGAACAGGCGGTTATTTGAGCCTAGCTACAATAGACGGTCGCCATTATCTGCTCTTTGAGCCACGACACTATAAGATCCACCTAAGTGTCTTTCTCTTTCGCTTAGTTTACCTACTTGAGCATTAAAGTCACCAGCCACTATTACTACATCAGAGCGCCTGGCTTTTCGGAGAAGGTCGGAAAGCTTTTTGTAAAACTCATCTTTTACATCATCTGCGCTGCAGTCAGTGGGAGAATAGGAAGAGACGACGAAGAGACAACGACGAGTGTCCCTATCTTTCCGAGTCCTTATTGTCGCGTTTAGTCGGACAGTTCACAAACGACTGTCTACTGGGATCCAGTCTAAGAGAGCTAGTTCTACCCTAGGACTCAATGCTGGAGCCCATGTGCACCATTGGTTTGGAATCTGGGTTTTCCAACACCCCTAGATGAACTCTCCATGTCCACCAACCCGGTTAAAGCGCCCGAAGGACATTTGCTTTTCGTACTCTCAATTTCGTAAACAACACCCTCGCCAAGAGAAGGCAGTGAGTAGGACTTCCCTGTCAGAGGCTATATACGCGTGTCCATGTGAGAGCATTTGGAGAGGGAGAGCGGACTCTCCCCACCAAGTCATTTGGGGGCTGTATATATGAATGAATTAGTTTTAAAGAGTTTTATTACTTATTGTTTACCGATGAATTATATTGGTCGATGAATTTACAAGTTAATCTACTTATGATGAAGAGAGTTTTGTCTCCCTTTTGAAAATACATTCATACAACCCTAAAATTATAGCTCATTCTAGGGAAGTCCTTTTCATTTACTGTTCTTATATGTTGTTTTTATCTACAAGTGTTAGGAAGCGAAAGTGGACATCTGGTGATTCGACTAGGTTCTTAGATATAAAGAGTTCACTGACGAGAATTGGAAAATCTTAATTTCAAGCCACTGATTCAATATCCATAAAGAACAAATGCCATAAGAATCTTTCGTAAAACTTACAACTGTACTTTGTGAAGTTACTGTCTTAATTTTCAAACTAAACCTTTAGGTTAGTAGCTCGTAAAATGGCTTCTTATGAAAAGTATATCTTAGTTTATGAATCCGGACCGTCTCTCAGATCTGATGAATGTGATGAAATCAATGAATTAGAAGGTACAGTAAATGCTCACTGATGATATTATACAATGAAGGTTCTATATCATTAATCGTTCAATGCTGAAAAAACCTGCGAACGACCCTAGATTCTAGTTTAATATTAATTGAGAGAAACAGTATTTGCACCGAAACATAATAAAAGTTCTAAATTTGATTCCTTAGTGAAGTGTCATAATGTGGCAGTTTATAACTATTTGTTTTTTCTAACCATTCTTTAATTGAAATCAGTTTCTGATGAAAGGATGTTCTAATGTATAATTACATGCGCATATAGTATTACATTGTTTTTCAATAGGGCTCATTCATGGCCCTGCCAGGAATTGAAATTTAGGATATCAGGACTAGTAGTGAGTATTTGACCCTTAGATTACCGAGTTTTCATCCAGTAGTTTGCATTATTAACTTTGCAGCATTATACCCTCTTTATCAATGGACATTGACGATATTGATCCAACATCTGACATGTTTGACCACTTGTAGTCGTGGCTTCTCACTGGAATTCTGATAGTCATCTCACAAAATCAGTTGCTTGTAACCAAGCATGCTGATTGTCTAACTACAGTCAGTCAGTAATTCAATCTTACAAAATTCAACGGTTTCCATAAGCCAACTAAACTGGAAAAAGAAATAATTAAATAAATCATCAGCTTAGTGATGATATTTTAACCACAAGTACACATAAATAAACATGAATTTCAACATATACAGGTATCTTTTAGCCTTCATAACTTGAAAATTATCGAACATTGATGGCCCTCTAATGGTTTGATACTGCCGAGAATGAGGAGAGTCAGCTCTCCCTCTCCATATGCTCTCACATGGCCACGTGCATATAACCACCGACAGGGAAGTCCTACTCACTGCCTTCTCTCACCACCGGTGTTGTTTACGAGATTAAGAAAACGAAAAGCAAATGCTCGGCGCTTAAACTGGGTTGGTGGATACGAAGGATCCACCTGGGCAAGTTGTAAAACTCTGATTCCAAACCAATGGTGAACATGTGCTTCAGGATCCTAAGGAAACAAATGGCGTATGGACCTAATGTTGGTCACCGGCTATCATGGGACTGCATCTCCTGATAATGCTCCACTGTCTTGTGGATTAGATCTTTAGGTTGAAGGCTTGGGGTGTGGCCCCCTAAGAAAACCGCTTGCTTCGGTTTGGGTACCCGGGCAGTATCATAGCCCACACACAAATCAAATGACTTGTGTGGCGTATATGTATTTGGTGCCTCCTTGTACCAATATCTATGTGTTTAAATAAATAAATAAATAAATAAATAATAAATCGAACATCGAGCGAATGTTTAGAGATGGGGTCAAAGTGACCTGGTTATTTTTGGAATATAACTTTTTATTAATAATACGATATATTATAGATTTACAATAGTTAAACAGTCTTTAAAAATCAGAAAGCTTTTGTACAACCTTCTTGTCCTTGTATGGAATTTTTCAAATGTCGTTATCCATGACCTCATCAGTAGTCGGACTCAGGATTTTCACACCCTCTGGTAGATGATTAACCTTCAAACCACCAATAATATGGTTGTTTACGAATCTTTACTTTCCTTTTGAACCAAAAATAAATCTGTTTGTGCTGTTTACTTATTATTATTTGATATAGTTATATTCCACGGAATTAGCTGTCACTATATTCCGTCAATCACAAAATAATCAAATGTTAAAGCATCCATTCTCAACAATATCATCGTCTACATCATCTTCATCATTTCATGGTCATAGTAAATCATCTCAATTACATCAATCACAACATTATCAACAATTGAAAAGATATAATAATTCACAACAGATTTCTGTTACCACATCACCATATCAATTATATTCTTCAATTGGTTCTTCGGAAGAACATGATTTATTAAATAATGCAACCAATACTACCAATAATACAACTGCTGGAGTTGGACAACAACAACAACAACAGATCTTTTCAATGAATCATTTCAATTTGCATAATTTGAAATCATTGAGGTAAGTGTTTGTGTTTCCGCTCTTGGCGAAGTTCCATACTATACTATATATATGAATGAAAATGAAATCCCAACTAGTATTCATCTGAAAAGTTAATCACCCAGTCATAATAAATTTAGAGGCCGGAATAGATGTGTATTGGTTCAATTTACCATACCATAATAGTATGATAAGGCGATATTATGAAGATGAATAACAAAGAAATTGAAATAATCACGATAGCAACGATAGTGAGAAACATTGAACATCGAGAGTATAGTTTGAAAATACTGGACGGAAAAGTATGTAAGAAGGAATACCACGGAAATCAATATTTAGAAGAACACAATCAGTAAAACACATCAGGGCAAATGAGATTAATTTTAAGAAGTATTACCCAACGTCTACAATTATCGGTCGTAATTATCGTGTGAATCTCAACCAGGTAACCTAAACCTACCAATAAGGATCAGAACAACAGTAATAGACTTCATGTATTGATATCATATTCTATTTTGTCAGCCTCCTGGCTTTCTCTTAACTTACTCTGACACCAGCTAAAATTACAACTTGAGGTAGGCAACTGTTTGACATACAATTCTGTTTTCATTACTATGCAGATCTACTGTGTACAATCACCATAAGTTTATAAATGAAATAATTTAGAGCAATTGAAGTGCACACACTTAAATCTATGTTATTACCACAACGTGCAATGCTAACCGGTGTTGGGAATGGTTGGACGAAAGTTAGGAGCAGCCAAACCAAAACGTGGTATCAGTGCTTGAAGTCACTAACTTCTAATCTGAACCATGTTGTTAAATACAAACTACTTGGTTGAGATTCGCAGAACTATCGTAACCAATGGTTGCAGACTCTTGATGACATGACTCAGAATTGATCACAATGGTGTAGGTGTGTACACTATCTGTCTTCCCTTAAACCGTGAGATTAAAATCACTTCATATCTTTCTTTCTACGTACTAATTCTTTCTTCCTGTACTATATCCTTATATGCAATCTTTCTTTTATATATTACCACCATTGAATTAACTACTTCTATGAATCCGGTGTTCATCTTGTTGTGTTCATGAGGTATGGCAACTTGGACCGATGCATATATGTGCCTGGTCTCACGTTGTAGCTGACTAACTGACTGACTCATCTGCACATCATCCATCAGTTGTGCCCAACAAAATTTACAGTTCCTTTACTCCTGTTGTTATAAGGGAGAGATATTAAAATGTATTATAGTCTTTCTTGATCATCCATATAGCATGGTGCATGCTACTGATATCGAAAAATATAAGTAGTGTGTATCATTAATCGAGAGTGAAATACCTGAAGGTAGAATGTTAAGAAGATCAAAGAAAAGAGAACAAGAACAAAGAAGGCTTGGTGTGGAAGCGAAAGAACAATGAAGTCTGAGACGACTGATTGACATATTGCAAATGAAGTATTTACTGTATGGTTCTCAGTTTTTAGTGAAATATTCTGTAATTTCGTGAAAATATTGATTTACCGATTGAGTTGAGGCAGGTTTACATGGTATAGTAGTAGGTTAAAAGGAAGTTAAGGTTTGATAAACCAAAACTTGACATCAGTCTATAAATTTATTGACTATTTGTTTGAATATGGTTACTGGTTAGCGTTTTTTTAGAGAGTTGGTTTTCTACGGGATGGGGTCACTAACCCCATGCCCAAACCTCATCCTTTATCCGGGGTTGAGACCGGCTGTAGCCTCAGAGGGACTCCAGGCGGAGTTTTGAATATGATTATTAGATACAAAATAACTGATTGGCTTCCGATTGATTATAATGATCAATGATTGGATATGTTTCAGTGAACTTGTTAATTTCATCTCATTATGTTAATGTGGTAAGTGAATTTAGGCTAACACACATATATAGTACAATCTACTTTGATTATGATTGAATTCGACGAACTGATTTATACGATGAAAAAAAAAGTTATATCAATTAGTTTGTTGATATAAATTTATAAATGAATGTATTTTCGAGTAGGGTAGTCGTCGTTGTCATGTTTTGGGGATTAATAAATCATCACTTATACCAGTGTTTTTGTCCTTACTTTCGCGTCATGGGAATTGCAGAGGTCCCTCTTTTGAAATGTAAATGATAAGCGTCTCCAACATAACAATCAGCGACGACCAGATATAACAAATAGCGTTCAATCCAGAAGACATATCAAAATTTTACAGTACTTCAGGAAATTTTGTAAACATTGTACACTGAATCTTTCTTTATAGATTGTATTCATCATAGATTGATTTCTATTGAAATATCAGGATCTGACCTGTGGTAGTGTTTTCATAGCATACTACTCATTAAGAGTCTCATATTAGGATGAAACAGCTGTTCAGGCATTTTTGACTTTCAGTGATATTTCAAACGAGATCAGTCTGTGATAAATACAGCGAGACTCTAATTTATGAACGACCTTTGAACGAATCTTAAGTGACCTTGAGTAATATTAGTCAATCAGCAAACAGTCAGTATAGAGTAAAAATATATTATACAAAACTAAAGAAATAAAGTGGATACATTTCTTTTAAGTAGTTCAAAAACTTGCCAAGGTTAGAATAAAGGTACAGAGGTTCTAAAATCGTAATGAATACAGTAGAGGAAATCATCCATATGGCTACATATTAGTTGACCTCTGGAGCCATGATAAATTCGCAAAAACTCTTTCACCCTCGACCACATAACTTTAATATTGTTTATGTGCACTCCGGTTGTTGGGTCCAAAAAGTACCGCTTAAGGATAACGACACGATGCACATAACCAAGTCTATGTAGACATCTTCACTCTCTCCAAATCATCCGTATATATTGTAGTACCCGGCTACAGCCAGTGTTACTGGTGCTTTTATTATCGAACAATTGTCATAATTTGACTTAATCTCAATCTGGATCATGCGAAAAAATCTTATTCTAGCAGACGTCTTCCTCCAAAACATATTACATCGAAAGACAACATCATCATTTAATTACCAGAATAAAAAATAAAGGAACATCTTAGTAACCCGACGTTATCTCAAAATCACAATTGATTGATCACTGGGTGGTGATCAATCTCATGCTTGTCTAGTCCTTATTAGTGCAGATCGAATGCTATCGATCATGTTGCAATGTGGCCACCAGTCTAGGTGACTCGACACTGCGGGCACTATGTATTGAGATTAGATGGTGGTTGGAGGTAGTCAACAGGAAACCCTGGACCCGGGTTTCGTGCTACTTGGCACTCGTCAGCAAGGTGTACCTGTAATCTTGAGGGAACTGGTGCTCTCAAAATCCACTGTGAACCAGTCGTACATGAGCATCAGATACTGAAATTAGTGCTATGACTTTGAAATCCCTAGAATGCTTCTGATTGGCTCGTCCATAAATTATAATCTCAACATAAATATCACCTATAAATCAAACTAATCTTTTTGATTGAGATCATGAACCGATTGATGTTAGACCACCATTGAAAACCTGGAAGCACTGCACGGCCGTTTCGTTCTATTATTATCGTGACCAGTGGAGTTAATCCGTGTCGGGTAGAAACAGGTGTCTACCTCGGTACAATGGAAGATGGTCGCGCAACTTCATGGATTGGTTGAGGTTAGACATTAACACCATTGGATGCCGGCTCAGTGGTCCAGTAGGTTAAGCGTTCACGCGCAAGACTGAAGGCCCTCGGTTCGAATCCCGCGAGTGGAATCGTGGATGCGCACTACTGAGGAGTCCCACAATAAGACAAAACGGCCGTCCACTGCTTCCAGGTTTTCAATAGTGGTCTAACCTCAATCAAAAACTTCACAATCTCCACAACTTCTAAACTGAAAATTAATCTTTACTAAATTTTTTCAATTATAAACTTAATTTGTAATTTGTAATTATCTTTTTTAGACAACAAGTTGAATTTTTAGCTTATACCATATTAGATAAATATGAAACATCAGATGGTGGTTATGAAAAAATTCTCCCAACATCTTTATGTAATTTAACAAATATCAATATGACAACAACTTCAGTTAATGGTAATATACCTATTGTAAATAGTACTAATTTATCTCAATTACATTGTTTCAACATATTCAACATTCTTCTCAATCACCTATAAGTCCTGGTCTTTGTTCTATGCAATCTGTGATTACATCATCAAATAGTTTATTAGATAATAGTAATACTACTAATAATAATAGTGTCTATGCCAATTCATGGTATGTTAGTTTAAATCGAAACAAATTAAATACAATACAATGTTTACCAAATGAAATGAATGAACATTTACATGGACAACAATCATTAATGAATCCTAATCAATTACCTTCTATATCATTGAATTCAACAATTGATTCCAATCCATCAATAACTTATCAACAACGACAATATAATCATGTACGATTAAATAATAATTTACAATTAATAAATCCTCAATTACGTTCATTTGTTAAAGGAAATACAAATCAAAATATAAATGAAAATGGTTTCAATGGAAGTGGTGATGGTTTTGGTTGGGAAACTCCAGATTCCGGTGCTGGAAGTAGTAGTATCAATGAAATATCATCACAACATCATCCTCATCAACAACAACACCAACGACAACAATCTGGTTATTTATTAAATCCATCATCATTATTCTTATCTTCTTCAACATCTTCATTATTATTTGGACATTATTATCAAACTTATGGTGAAATCATTCAAAATAATACTACTAATAAAGTAAATAATCAATCAGATTTATTCATATTCAATACATTATTAGATAATCTTCCACCATTATGGACATTATTTACAAAAACATCAACATCTTTTTATGAATCCGATTTAGATTCATCAGATTCATCTGATCTACCAGGAAATATTATTAAAACTACTGATTTATCAAAACATATTACTCATCCTCATCCCCATCCTCCTCCTCCTCCTCCTCCTCCTCCTCCTCCACCTCTTCTTCCACATCATCAACAACAACAACATAATAGTAGTATGAATGGTCAATTAATATCTCAACTACCTCCTATTTCATCATCACAACAATTATCTAATTGGTCTAGATTAGAAGAACGTAAACTACGTACAATTTATTACCAATTAATTCATACATATAAACGTTTACAATCCATGTTAATTGATATGCCTAATACATATCAATTGGTTATACCAAATGATAGAAATGAAATTGGAGAGAAGACAAAAACTACAAATGATGTCATTGATCATGATCAAAATATATCAACAACAAGATTTGTATCAGTTGGTTCAACACAACAACAGATGAATTTGGATCAACAAAATGTAAGTGAATAAGGGGTTTTGTAGATATTACAGTAGTTTCAATAGTTGAGATCATGAGTCAATTGAAACTAGACCACTATGGAGAACCTGGAAGCACTGGATGGTCGTTTCGTCCTATTGTGGGACACCTTATCAGTGAGAATGTAAAATACTACTTAAGGAAATGACAAGTAGTGTTAAATGTCTTAACCATTTCATTTATTTGTGATAGATAATGAATAGTTGGTAATAGGCCACCAAGTGCCCCGGTACAGCTGACGGTATGTAAAGTTAACTCTTCCTTTAGAAATACTCTCATATGTCCATACATATACAGCCACTGACAGAGAAGTCCGAATCACTGCCATCTCGCACCACGGGTCTTGTTGACGAAATTGATAGGATGAAGAGCGAATATCCGGCTCTTTAACCGGGTTGGAGGACACGGGGGATCTACCTAGATGAGTTGAGAAACCCTGATTCCAAACCAATGGTGCACATGGGCTCCAGTATCCTGAAGGAACAAATGGCGTACGAACCCAATGTTGGTCACTGGCTACTATGCGACTGCATCTCCTAACGTTCCCCCACTGCCTTGTAGATCAGACCATTAAGTCAAAGGCTCTGGGTGTGGTCTCCTAAGAAAACCACCTGCTTCGGTTCGGGCACCCAGGCAGTATCACAACCCTCACACAAATCAAGTGACTTGTGTGGCGCATATGTATTCGGTGCCGCTTTGTACCAATATTTTTGTGTTCAAATACTCCCCACTCCGGCCGTATCAAGACTTTGGGCCGCTCTTTAAGGAATAATGACGATTGCATAATCTGACGAATCGACTAAAACGTTGGAAGTGAAAATCATTGGATACTAACTTAATGGTTTAAAGGTAACGTGATTAATGTGAGGCCTATAAGCCCTGGGTTCAAATTTGGGACAGGATTAACCATTTGTTTACAGTACCCACTTACCAAGTACAAGTTTACGCACTTAATCTTCTAACACATTGTTTATATGATGGCTATTGATAATAATAGTCCCTTAAAAATGAATTAGATGGAAAGTGACTTGAATCTACCACCTAGTAGTTGAAAATCGAGCCATCACATTCAACACACTACTTTGGATTTTCATTTTATGGCGAAACTATTGTCCAGTTCTCCCGCATTCTCGACATCTTTTTCTTGTAATTTTAACAGTGAAGTTCACCAGTCGATCTAAGCTAGACCACTGTTGAAAATCGGTGAGCACTGAACGGTTGTTTCATCCTAGTATAAGACTCTTTAGCAGTGCACATCCACTACTCGAGCCCAGGACCTTCGGCTTCGCGAGCGAACGCTTAACTTCTAAACCACTGATCCGACGTCCAACGGTGTTAATGTCCAACTTTAATCGACTCATCATCTTATGTCTAATATAGAGTATAAATTTAAGGTGCATGATTATAAAATGATTTTATGTAAACTGTGTACTCATACAATGGTCTTGAATGTTGTTAAAGGCATGAGGGCGTTTATCACTTCCTGGTCGCTCACACCTCGGAAGGGTTCTTCTGGAGGTACCTGGAAAGGAAATTGGATTAGAGATGGTTTTAGTGACCTGAGAGCGTGACCACAGTGCCCAAGGGACAAGTGCTTGAGGTCGGTCACACACGACCTTTTAGTGAGTAGTTTTCGTGTTGGCTCCATACCTGTTGAAACCTTACCGCCGGAGACGGATATCTGTGGGATAAGGCGAGATGTACATTTTTAAATCGACCTTTTCTAACCGCACCCCTTCTTGTGGGAAGGCATCATCGCTGTTATGCTGGTTGTTTGAAGGAAACACCTTACTGCCACCACATCTCTGTACAGTCAGTAGTACGATTTTACTTTTGGACCTTGGGTTTGTTGCTTTTAGTCTTTCTGCTCTTCAACCGACCTTTCAATTAACTTTCCTACTTTCTGCATAGAAATTAAATTCTATTTTCATTTATTTTTATATTAATTAACTATTTTCAAATGTAATAACTTTATATTGTATAATGTATACACAATAAATCATCTTGGCGCTTTAAATTATTCCTTATCTAACTTTACACATATACATTATAACATAAACAATGAATAGGCAACTATAGATTACTATTGATTCTCTATGATAATATTTACTTTTAATATGATTGTATTAATCGTTTATACAGGGGAGCAGGTGGTTATAGTCATATTGTTATATGTAGAAATATACATAGAGATACCTATAATACACTATTGAATGAACAGCAGGTGGTTCTCTTTATTCTATTTTAAGTTTCTAATCCCTATTACTAAGTGAAATGTATTTCAACTGTTTTCATCTTCACATCTATACACATACAATAACATATGTAAATGAAGACGGTAGCAACATGATTATTCGTTCTTTGCCTACACTACTAATAATATACTATCTTTGTTCATCTATAGTAAATATATATATATATATATAGTGCACATTAGAAATGAAAATATACATTAAGGATCTTTTCTTTTTTCTTCATAAATTCTTAACCTTTATCAACAAGTGTATGAATAGTGAACAAATAGGTCTGACATCACTTCAGGTCAAGGTTGTTTGTATTTATCAAACTGATTTATGAAACATGTGTGTGTGTGTGTCTGTGTAGACTTTTTCTAAGGGTAAACAATATAAAGGGAGTGAATGTAATCAGAAAAAGAACACAAGCTATCGGTTGGTTAAAAAAATAGTTTTAATAGTTGAAATCATAAGTCAATTGAAGCTAGACACAATGGAAAACCTGGAAGCACTGGATGGCCGTTTCGTCCTAGTATGAGACTCCTCAGCAGTGCGTATCCACGATCCCACCTCGCAAGATCAGTCTCGCGCGCGAGCGCTTAACCATTAGACCACTGAGCCGGCATCGAACAATGTTAATGTGTAACTTCAACCAATCCACGTAACTGTGCCACCATCACCATTGTCTTCATTGAGTTGATATCTCACAACAGACTTGGTGGAACTCCACTGGTCACAGATTCCCACTAGAACTCCAGGAGTGTCTCTTGAAGTCAGTCACTAGTGAACATATGATTACTATCAGAATAGGTTTTGTGGAGATACCAGTTTTTCCATAGTGGTCTAGCTTCAATTGACTCATGATTTCAACTATTTAAATTAATAAATTCTCCACAAAACCCCTTCTGATAAAAAATATAACACAACTAATAAATTTAAATGCTTTAAGCCAATGGCCTTTTCTATGCAAAGAAATTAGTAAACTGATGTTAGTACTTGACAACAGTTTCAACCTCCTATATAGGTATAGACTAAGATAATATCCTGAACTCTCAGGATGAAGTAAATGTTTTTTTTAAAGATGAAATTCTCTAAAGTTCTAATCCACAAGACAGTGAAGTGATAGTCGGTAACTTAAACAGATTCATGCATCACCCATTTCTATAGGGTCGTGGAGTTCTGTACAACAATAGTTTTCTAATTGGTTCCTTTGTATTCACAAATGGAGTATCAGAACTGGTAACTCACTTTTCATCCATTCAATTTCGAAAATATATCTCAGCTTGAAAGCAATGAGTAAAATTTCACTAGAATATAGTTTCTAACTGGAACATCTGAGAAATTCATCGTTAATTATAAGATGATAACTTTCGTGATAAAATGGTACTACTTAAATCTATCAATATGATCATTGTTGAATAGTTTTAAACTAAGATAAAACTGACATTTGATGCATTTTAGCTTTCAATGTTTTCTTCAATCTAAGTTAATTTATGAAATAAACTGACTTCAAATTGAATAAAATCTCAATTCCTTATCCAAGTAATAATTCAACATCTTTTATAGAATCGATCGTTTATGACTAGTATTAAAATCTAAGACTCTCTTTTCACTCTATTTGAGATTCCTCAGCTAGATATATTTGGACAATTTACTGATTTGAACACATAAATATTGCTACAAAAGGGCACCGAATACATATGTTCCACACAAGTCACTTGATTTGTGTGTGAGCTGTAATACTGCCCGGGTGCCCAAACCGAAGCAAGCGGTTTTCTTAAGACGACACACCCAGAGCCTTTGACCCTAAGGTCTGATCCACAAGGGAGTGGAGGAACGTCAGGAGATGCAGTCCCATGATAGCACGTGAACAATAATTGGTTCATACGCCATTTGTTTCTTTAGGATCCTGGAGCCCATGTATACCGTTGGTTTGGAATCAAAGTTTTCCAACTCCCCTAGGTAGATCCTCCGTGTCCGCTAATCCGGTTGTGGTGCGTGCTACGTATATTGACATAAGTGGTATATAACACGAGTCAGGAATGTAATGTCTGGCAGCAGAAGATTGGCAAGATAAAGAAAGGAAGAACGGGAATAGAAAGCAATTAGTATAGAAATGCAATAACAATGAAGTCTGAGGCAATTATCAAACATTTTGTAAATGAGGTATTATAGTACGGTTTTTCTATTTTACCAAGTAACTGTAATGTTTCGGTTATCCTCACCTGTGTTCTCCTTCACTACATTTGGTGTCGCTGGCTCCACTAAGGATGGAGATTCCATGGCCGGAGGAATACGAGGACAGAGATGTGGTGGGCATCCTGAAGGAGTTTGAGGCCGTGGCGAAGCTGGTGGGAGTGAAGGAGCCGAAGGCGAAGATGGTGGTGCTGAGGACGCTGTTAAGAGGCAGGGCAAAGGCTGTATATGACAGCTTGGACGTTGCTGGCGGAAAGACGACATGAGGGACAGTCACGCAGCGGTTGGTGGCGCAGCTCGACAGCCCAGCGGACAGGGAGGATGCACTACAGAAGTTCCGATTGGCGGGATTGTCGGTCGGTGGTGACCCCCCGATGCTGTCTGTGGAGCTCACCAGGTTGTTGCGCCGTGCGCTGCCGAATCTGAATGAAGAGTCGGAGATGTCGGATATTCCCTTTTCGTCCTCTTGATTTCGTAAACAACACTGGTGGTACTAGAAGGCTGTGAGTCGGACTTCCCTGTTAGTGGTTGTATACACGAGGCCATGTGAGGGCATTTGGAGAGGGAGAGTGGATTCTCCCCACTCTCGGCCGTACCAGGGCACTTGGGGGCATCCGGTGTTGATGTGCACAACAGGGCTCGAACCCAATGCTTTTCACTTCATTTCTGAACATCTTCGGCAACAGCATAATTAACCAATATAATCTCTTGTATCTAGCTGATAAAGTTTGATTATATCAATGAAAGGATATTTTAATTAAAAAAATAATTGACGAAAACTTGTTTTCATCTCATCATAATTGACAGATATGAATAATTCCATTTCATTAATTTAATTTGGTTTTATAATCATGGATGGATAGTAGCTATTAGTAGAATCCCGTTTGACGCGCGTTTCACCCTATTTGGGACTCGTCAGCTGGATGTATCTGCATCTCAGAGTTGATGATCACTTTGAGACTCAAAACCACTACTGTTCGCTTTAAACGCTACCGCGTTATCCGTGAAGTTATTATGGTTTTTTATGCAAATTTTAGTTGATATACAGACCCTTTCTATTTTAGTTACACCTTTTATTACTATTATGTGACCATGGATACTATTATATCAGACTAGTTAGAGTAAAGTAGATATTTGTGGAATTTATATCAATAATAAACTATCATTTTCAAACAGATATTGGTTATATAATTTATATAATATACTCTTGTGGGCCAGGGTAATGTTACATTGGTTTTCAGGAGAACCGGACACCATCCAGACTTTCACGTGACAGCCCAAACAGTACAGCTCAATTCCGTTTGACAGGGGAGCCAGACACCGCCCAGGCTTAAATTTTATAAAGCGAGCAGTACAGCTCAATCCCGCTTCACAGGAGAACCAGACACCGTATAGGCTTTAACCCTACAATCTGAATAGTACAGCTCAATTCTGTGGCGCAACCACCCAGATACCAAGCACCCTGGTGGACCATTCGCACCATTCATATACACATTCACATCGTATGTATAGTTATTCCGATCAATAATCGCGTGAATCAATTATAAGCATCACGAACAGGCCAAATTTGACCTATTCCGCTTACACGACAGTCAAACTCAATAATGTTAGCAATAGCAATATGCCTTACAATGTGCGAATGACAATGGCCCTTGAGAACACTGACAAGCAACCACCAGTATGAACGAAATCGGTTAGCCAGCAAATCAATTTTTTACACGAACAGTCAGCAAAACTTGTCAAATCAATGCCGAACCATCCACAATACCAATGGCAAATCTCCGGCCTCATATGAGACCTTCAGCTCCACATAGCCATATATCTTATACTGCATACAACACATATGTAGGGTAGTAAACAAAATAGCTCAGCCTGAAGTGTTAGGACTTGAAGAACGCTTAAAACCCATTGTCTGGTGTCGTAATACTATAACTAGACCACCAAGATCATTTTTATCGCATTTGCGAGATTTTCATTTGTCCGACTTTTCAGACCCCGAGTTAGGGGTAATAGTTAGATGTATAAAACTCTAAAGTTTCACGATTTTCAATTTAATTTATTTGAATAGGTATGGTCTATATTTTGTCAGTTAATTCAAATTAGTTTGGAAAATATCCTAAACCTAAGATTTATGTTATGTGATAATTGTTAATAAACCAAACCTATAATTTTTGGCAGACTAATACTCAGTGTAGGATTTGAGTTAGATATTATTCAACAGAGACGTTAGCACTTAGTTACTCAAGGTCACGATTAACTTCTTGAAGGACTGAAATATTGACTGTTGATTTTTAATGAATTCATTGAAACATGAAAAGTTAATACACACAGAGAGACAGACAGAAAGTAAGACAAGGACTATGGTATAATATTGTGACTAATCACAGTTGCATTGACCGACCTCAATCAGTTGTCCTTTGAGCACTTTGGTCACGCGATTAGGTCACTAAAGCCTACTCCAACCTAATTTCTCTTTCAGGTGCCCCGAGACCCCCCCCCACGATGTGGACAACCTTTAACAGCACTCAAGATCACTGAAAACACTAAAAGTCAAGTTAGAGATTATGGCAAACTATTTTCAAAATTGTCACCTTCAATCAATGTTAGTCAGAGTTGCCTATTATCTACATTTCTACTTGATATTGTCATAGATATAATCTTAGAAGTCACAGATTATTTATCTAACCTTTCAAGTTTTGATCTTCTTCATGAAAGATCATTTATCGCAAATGATATAGTCCTATTTGATAAATATTCTGACAAAATACAGTATCTACTGAACGCTTTGATCAATAATACAAATATGTTGAGGATGAGTTTTCCTCCTACTGAATTAAAAATGTTGCTTTAGGATTACCGTACATCATTGCCTAGATTGACATAGATTTTTACATTGTTGAATACGTAGTTTACTTTACCTATCTTTTAATTCTCATCAGTCTTAATGAATTGGTGTCTAAATCAATCTTGACATAGATTCAGAATGGTCATTTGATTTTTTGTTAACTTCCATTATTTATAACATTTTTGAAATATTCATCTGTTAACCAAGAGGGTTAGTTAGTATACTACTCATCAGTCCTTTTTATGTTACTCTTTCACTATGGAGTATGTTCTATGAAAGTAGAAGATATAAGTAGGTTAAAGCTATGTGAAGTTAGACATTAACACTGTTGGATGCCGGCAAATTCAGTGGTCTAGAGATTAAGTGTTCGAACGCGAGACTGATAGACCCTTAGTTCAAATGTCATAAGGTGGGATCGTGGATGCACACTGTTGAAGAGTCCTACAATAGGACGAAATGGCCGTTCTGTGCTTCCAGGTTTTCCATGATTATCTAGCTTCAATTGACTCATGATCTCTACAATTAAAAGTATTTGATCATAGGACTTAATGGATTATAATATGTACCAGACTCTACTTTATTCTTGACTGATTCAATAGATTAGATAAACATGATTTTCACTACTACTATTATTTATCGATTAATCAATTACCTTAGTGATTATCTTAAACAGATTATCTTTTTGTCTGTTTTTTTTTGTTGTTGTTTACTTCCAAAAAATCGATTTTACGCTTGTTCCCTTTTATTGATTTTTTGTCTATATTTCCTTTTTCTGTTCTGTTTTACTATACTTCTCTTTTTTTCTCTCTCTCCTCCTTCGTATTACTATTGTCCTCAAATAGTCGATTACAACGAATTCATTACGTAAATTACCATTGGCTGTATTTTTGGAAAATTCAGTTCTATTACAAGTAAGTAGTATGTATTGTATTGTTTATTTGTTTTTCTTCTCTTTTCTAGCAATCATTTATCCTTTTAGTTAGATTTGATTTCTTTGATTAATTTTGAGAGAAATTTGATTAATTCTAAACTTCAATAGTTGAATTCATAAGTCAATTGAAGTTAGACCATCATGGAAGTACTGGAAGACCGTTTCATCCTAGCATGGGACTCCTCAGAAGTGAACATCCACGATCTCGTCTCGTGAAATTTGTACCGAGGACCTATCAGTCTCATGTGCAGATACTTAACTTTTAGACCACTGAACTTGCTGGCATACAACAGTTTTAATGTCCAATTCCATTTAATCCACGAAATTGGGCAACACATCTATCACTGTCTTCAATGAGTTACTATCTTATAACAGACCCAGTTGAACTCCACTGGTCATTGCTTCACACTAGAATTGTTAACTTCTAGACCACTAAAATTGCTGGCATTTAACGGTGTTGATATCTAACTTCAACCCATCCAAGAAACTGCGCCACTGTCCACAAAACGGCTGTTCAGTGCTTCCAGGTTCTCCATGGTGGTCTAGCTTCAATTGGTTCATGAATTCAACTATTAAATTATTACAATATCCACAAAACCCTTCTCTTGTTTAACTATTTATTTATAACCGACATTAAATTGTACCTTTCTACCAGTGGTAACGATTCTAACCAGATGAAAATGTAGCTAATTTACATTTTATTTGAATGGAACAAAGATTGAATATACATTGACATTATTGTTCTACACTTATTACAGTCTATTGATAAAGACTACTTGTTAAGTCTAATAAATTTAAAGTTATAAATTGTGAGACAGAAAAATATTGATTTATGCTAAAATGCTTCGACAATTTACGAATATTATCATAAATAGTAATAGTGTGATGTGTACTACTAATGTCAACATATATAAGTAGTATGTATCATCAATCGAAAATGTAATGTCTGGAGGTAGAAGGTTAAGAAGATGGAAGAAAAGAGAACGAGAACAAAGAATGATTGGTTTGGAAATGGAGGAACAAAAAAGTCTGAGACGATTGATGGTCATTTTGCAAATGAAGTATTCACTGTATAGTTCTCAGATTTGACTAAAAGATTCTGTAATTTTGTATTCAAATACATTCGACTGTCCCCACTTGTTTTATCGTTCACTACAATAGTAGTAGTGTGATGTGTCCTGCTTATGTTTACAGATCTAAGTATTATGTAACACAAATGTCTAGCGGCATAAGATTGAGAAGGCCGAATTGAAGAGAACAGGAATGTAAACAAACGGTAATGGTAATAACAACAAGAATGAAGGAACTTTAAATTTTGTAAGACACAACTGATGGATGATATGCAAATGATTCAGTCAGTCAGTCAGCTACAACGTAGGACCAGGCACATATATGCATCGGTCCAAGTTGCCATACCTCATTAACGCAACAAGATGAACACCGGATTCATAGAAATAGTTAATTCAATGGTGGTAATATATAAAAGAATGATTGCATATAATGATATAATACGGGAAGAAAGAATTAGCTTGTAGAAAGAAAGATATGAAGCGATTTTAATCTCATAGTTTAAGAGAAGACAGAGAGTGTATAAACCTACACCATTGTGATCGATTCTGAGTCATGTCACCCAGAGCCTCCAACCATTGGTTACGATGGTTTATAGTAACTTAGTAAAGTGTTCAGTTACTATTCTTTAATGTATTTACTATATATTCTTGTTTAATAATCACCTCATTAGCTGATATCTGTTGTTACATACTATCCATTATTCAGTGTTTACAAACTTATCTTAATCATGTTTACAATGGTAGTGATAAATGATCCATGAATCTGTCAGTACGTGAGAAATACCCGTTACTTAAGTAATAAGTTGTAATAAATGTTTTCATCATAATAACAATACATTATACTCAGAAGTTGGGACTAAACTCATACATGGGTTATACACATTGAATAATAAATATGTAACTTAATATTTTCGATGATATTATAGTTCCAGTGTTAGGTTATTAGAATTAGTCATCAGAAAATCCTAGTGAACTTAGGTTTCACGATGTCTGACACTTGGAAATCTTAAGGAAACTAATACTCCCTATTGGATTCGGAATCTCACTACTCATTTTCACAATCACAGACGTTAATACTAAGCTTTTTAGTTACAAATAACCTGTGCCACTAATATATTCATAACTATCGGCCATTGAGGATCAACGTATGTCATGTTTGTCTAGTTTCTATCGTTGATCCGATTTTATTGACATGAGTATAAGTCCCTTTAGGAGTATAGGTACGCCTAGTTGATGAATATCAACTAGCACGAAACCTAGATCCGAGATTTCTTACTAATTAAGTCCAAAACAAACTGCACTCTACCGTCGAGTTAATTAGACTAGTGGCCAAATTACAATTTAATCGAGTAGATAAATATTACAATGGTCACTACTCAATGACCGATCAATGATACTACAGTATGGTACTTATGCTTCCTGTAATATAATGTTAAGATTTCGACAAGCTGATGACACAACTCATAATCCATTATAAACAATCTGTGTATAATTTATATCAATTTGGATTTTATATGAGTGTATATTGGTACTTTTCTATTTCTCTTGCATCAGACATTCAAAATGTTTCACTTGTAGTGTTTTCATCTTGACAATATTAAGTTACTGAAGGAATTCAGCAAGAAGAAGCTTTGAACACTGTCCTAATACCATTTGGATTTTTATCTATAGGTAGATGTCATTGAAATCTTGAACCGATCAGTGTTACATCACCACTGAAAACCTGGACACTTATCGTACGCTCATCGGTTACTAGCTGTGCGAGATAATTCTCGAAGTTCAAATGAGAAGCCGTCACTAGTGGGGCTAAACAATTTCAAGTGTGAAGTAGTTGCCCAACGAAGACAATAGAAGATGATCGCGCGATATTGTCGATTGGTTGAAGTTAGGCATAAATACTGTTGGATCCCGGCTCAGTGATCTAGATATTAGGCATTCGCACGCGAAACCGAAGGTTTTGAGTTCGATTTTCATTAACGGTATGGTGGATACTCACTTCTGAGGAGTCCCGTACTAATACGAAACGACTATCCAGTGCTTCCAGGTTTCGAATGATGGTCTAGCATTGATCATTTCATGATTTCAATGAAAGGGCAGTTATCACTTTCAAGTTGCCCACACCATGGAAGGGTTCTTCTGGAGGTATCTGAAAAGGAAATTGGACTAGAGGATGGTCTTATTTATCTGAGAATGTGACCGAAGTGCTCAAAGTACAACTGCTTGAGGTCGGTCACACACACCCTTTTTGTGAGTAATTTTCGTGTTAGCTCCGTGCTTATTGAAACCTTTCCGCCGGAGATTGATATCCGTGGGATAAGGTGATATGTGCATTTTTAGAGTCCACCTTTTCTGACCTCACCCTCCCTTTGTGGGAAGGCAGCATCGCTGTTATGCTGGTTGTCTGAAGGGAACATCTTACTACCATCATACCTCTGTACAGCCAGTAGTACAAGTTCGCCTTCGGACTTTGAGTTTGTTGTTTTTAGTTTTAGCGCTCTTCAGCCAATTTGTCTGGAATGGTAAGACCTTGGAGAACGATTGATCCAGTCAGTATAACTCGATTGATTCATCACAATAGACAAGCTCGATCACCATATCAACTTAGCAACAATGGTCGGATATCCATTATTTCATATATCTGAAATTGTTTTCATTTTATAATGAAATAATATTGATTAATTTGTTGATTTATTTAGGAATTATGTTGTATTAAAGAAGAATGTGCTGATCTTAAAATTCGTGTATATTTACTTGAAAAAGAATTACGTGCTAATCGTTTAACATTAGATAGTCGTACTGTTGCTGAACGTGCATTACGTGCTCATCTTGATGCATTAATTATTGAACAAAATAATCAATATTCAATATTAAATGATAATAAGTTAAAATTATCACAAACAGCAACAATGGCGACGTCTTCGACGACGACGACGACAACAACAACAACGGGAACAGGAATAACAACAACATTAACCAATCAATCTATACAGAATATTAATCAAAATGAATTAGTTTTATTAAGAGGTCAAGTCAAGGTAAACTATATATATATACGTATATATACTGAATTAATAATTTACATTCAATTATGATTATTAAATTTTATTGAAATTATGTAATGATCAATGTTATAGAATCATTGAAAACCTGAAAACATTGGATAGACATTTCGTATTAGTACAAGACTCCTCAGAAGTGACTTACTTACGTTTTTTTTACCCCGAGGGAGGGAGTATAGGCCGCTGCTCAGCATAATCAAATCCACTCTGTCCATAGCCTTCCTTTCTAGTTCTATCCAATTATTGTTCATCCTTCTCATATCTGTCTCTTTTTCTCGGTGTAATGTGTTCTTTAGTTTTCCTCTTCTCCTTTGGCCTTGAGGGTTCCAGATGATAAGAGCTTGCTTTGTGACGCAGTTCGGTGCTTTCCTCAATGTGTGTCACATCCATTTCCAGCACTTCTTCCTGATTTCTCCCACCACTGGAATGTGGTTTGTTCCCTCTCACAGTAGTGTAGTGTCTGGTCAACGGAGACAACTGTCAAAGAACACTTGTATGTTGTGGATGATGGCTTTCATAGTTCTCCATGTTTGCGCCCCATACAGTAGAACTGTCTTGACATTTGTATTGAAAGTTCTGACTTTCGTGTTGTTTGACAGACAGTTGTTTTGACTTCCAGATATTCTTCAATTGTATATATGCTACTCTTGCTTTACCGATCCGCAGCTTAACATTTGTATCAGATCCACCGTATTCATCAATGATGCTGCCCAGATACGTAAAGGATTTTGCATCTCCCAAATCTCCGTCAAGTGTGATTTGATTGGTGTATGTTGTGTTGTATCGGAGGATCTTGCTTTTTCCTTTGTGTATGTTGAGACCTACTGCTGCTACACTGGTCGTCTTTTCGTACATTTGTTGTTGCGTGTGCACTAGAAGAACCGGATCATCTGCGAAGTATAGGTCGGCTAGCTGCATGCTAGCCGTCCACTGTATCCCATGCTTCCCCGCAGATGTTGACGCCTTCATAATTCAGTCGATCATCAGAAGCAGTGACCATCCACCATACCGCAAATGGAAATTGAAATCAACACCTTGAGTTTTACATGCGAATACCTAATCTCTAGACCACTGAGCCGGGATGCAACAGTGTTTATATTTAACTTTAACTAATCGACAATGTCGCGTGGTCATCTTCTATTGTCGTCATTGGGCAACTACCTCACTCTGAACATTGTTTATCCCTACTAGTGATGGCCTCTAAATACATTTTTGAGAATTTTTGTCGAACCTAGTCACTTGTGAACACATGATGGATGCACACTGTTGAAGAGTTCTATACTAAGACGAAATGACAATTCAATATTTCTAGGTTTTCTGCGGTATTTTTATATTGATCGATTATTGATTCCAATAAAAATCAATATATAGAACAAACGTTCATCTACTTGGTTTATCATAATTATATTGAATGCAAATTAACGTGATCTTTCCAGTTGTTACACATTCTCTTGATATCTGCTTTCTATTCCCAACCTATTATGCTTCTCGGTCTTCCTCCTTTCTGTTCCCTTCCAGGATTTCAGGCAAGCGCTTGAGTCGTGGTGCAGTTTGATGATTTCCATAATGTATTTCCTATCCACTTCTAATGTCTTTTCCTAATTTCTTCTTCAGCTCAAAGCTGGTTTATTCTCTCCCACCGTAGTCTATTGCTGATGGTATCCGATCAACAGACATCGAGTATTTTGAGTAGAGAATTGTTTATAATTACTTGTACTATTTTGATGATGATTGTGGTAGTTCTCTAAGATTCAGATCCGTACAGTAGAATTAACCGTCTTGAGGTTTGTATTGAAGATTATGAATTTGATATTGGTTGAGAGTTGTGTTTTGAGTTCCATATGTTATTTAACTGTAGAAATGTTCCTTTTACCTTGCCAATCCTTGCCTTTACATCTACATGAGATCCTCCTTGTTTATCGATGATGCTACTCAGGTACTTGAAAGTTTTCACCTCTTCCAGAGTTTAGACGCAAGGTATTAGGGAATGATGGTAAATCAGTTGATGAAGTTGTGAATCTTCATCAACTGAGGTGATTCGGCCGCGTGTTACGTATACTTGAACACTGATTACCACGACGCGCAATGCTGACTAGTGTTGGGAATGGTTGGAAGAAAGTTAGGGATGGACAAACCGAAATGTAGCATTAATGCTTGAAGTCACTAACTTCTAGCTTGAGCCATATTGTTAGATGCAAACTACTTGGTTGCGGTTCGCTTGACTATACTGTACAATATCCCTACATGAAATCTTTCCTTTACATATTACACCATTGAGTCAACTACTTCTATGAATCCGGTATACATCTTGCTGTACTAATGAGGTATAGCAACTTGGACCAATCCATGTATGTGCTTGATCCTACGTTTTAATTGACTGACTGACTAACTTCCAGAGTTTCTGTATAAAGTATAATTGAATTAGTGTTCCTTGGGTTGTGATGGAGTTTTGTTCTCTACAAACCATTGGGAAACATAACCAAAACAAAGGAGTAAACAATGACAAATTTAAGATCAATAAGAACCAATCAACGGTGAGGTGTACAGAACAAGCTGTGAAACGCATATAGAGAAATTCGAACATTTCACTTCTATCCGAAGTTTGTGCTGGTGATGAAAGCTCCACGACTAAACCATCCAGCTCGAAGAACAAAACTCCATCAAAATCATCCATCTGAGCTATAAATCTTCTCCACCACTCTTGGGTTGTATTTCATGATCTTGATTCTCCCCCTTTGTGTATGTTGTTTGTTTTCTTTCTTTTTTTCTTTTTTTTTCTCATTTATAGAATTTATTACAAGCTCTTGAAGCATTACGTAGTAGTACAGAAATACAACAAATACAAAGTGAAGAATTAGTGAATGATTTAAAACGTGCTAATAGTGCATTAATTAAAGCATTTGATAAAATAAAACATAAATATACAACACGTATTAAAAAATTAGAAGATCAATTAAACTCTATGCATTCTATTCCTTCATCCACATGTTCTACATCATGTCATACTACTACTAATACTACTACTAGTTGTAGTAGTACAACTACTACTCATCATAATTATTTAAGTAATACATTCAAAGGATGTATGATAGAACATCATAATATCAATGAAATATCTAAAGCATCTACTGTAATAAATGATATGAATAATGTAAATATAAATTCTCAAATTCATCCCATTTATCCTATGCAAAGTGCTTTACAACAACAACAACAACCTGTAATAACAACATCAACACATTCATTGAATATACCTTCAATAATTGATTGTAATCGTAATTTATCATCAATACCAACATCTCATATCCCTCCTATTCTTCAACATCAACATCAGCAACATCCACTGCATCATCAACAGGATCATCATTATTATCCACAAATTAAACAACAACCTATGACATTGAATACATCTCAATTGAGAACAACACCACTTTCAACTAATTCATTATCACAACAGTTTTCAAATTTAAAACATTTTCCTACTCATTGAAATATCATTCAATTCTTCTTTTCAGTTCATTGTATATATATAGGTCATCAATCAAATCAGTAAAGCTAACTTTTTCCCTCCTCCTCCTCCTCCTTCTCCTCCTCCTCCTCCTCCTCCTCCTCCTCCTCCTCCTTCTTCTTCTTCTTCTTCTTCTTCTTCTTCTCCACCGCGACCACGACCACCACCCCCTCCTTCTCCTCCTCCTCCTCCTGCTACTATTACTACTACTACTACTCCAAATTTTTATACGATTCTTGTTTCCCTTCTTTCTTTCTTTTTTTGTATGTGAATACTTAGCAACAATAACAATTCAGATAGTTATATTATCTCTTGTTCCCTTTCTTCTTTTTTTTCATATTTTCCGCGGTTTGTTTTATTTTAGCGGGAAATGATATTGTAACCGATACTCTCTCTCTCTCCCTATATATATATATATATATATTCAAACAACAATAATGTGGTGTTTTTACTGCTGAACTACTCTTTTATTCAATATATATTTATATTTATATACTACTCATTGTACTACTTATATATCCATTACATACATTAAATGATCCGTGATGATTTTCAATATGCCTTATGAGGATAAGATTTATCATTTTCATATATTGATTAATTGATTTAAATCATTAAAAGGAATAGAATATGATTTATGCTTTTGATCTGCATTTTGTTGTTGTTGTTGCTGTTGTTGCTGTGGTAGTTCTTTCACATTGTACTCATTCTAACTAATCAATATGTTATGATGGTGATCATGCATTTGTTCTTATCTTTTCTTTTTCCTCCTCTCTCTCTCTTTATCTCTCTTAGAAACAAAACAAAATAGGAAATAATTAGAGAAAGGGTGGGGAGGTTGAAATTTTATAAGTCAATTAAAGTTAGATCATCATAAAAAAAACATGAACGTATTAGATGATTGTTTCGTTCTAGTATGAAACTTGTCAACAGGATGAAACAGCCATCCAATATTATCAGGTTTTCTATACCGATCTAATTTTAATTGATTCATAAAAATTCAATTATTAAAACAAGAAATGATATCATCTTTGATATCTTCTTTTCTTCACCTCTTGATGAACCCTTCTATCCCACTGACATCTATATATTATACATATGAATCTGGTGTTCATCTCGTTGTATTCATGAGATATAACAACTTGAATCAATACCCTGATCCTAGATGGTAACTGATTGATGATTGACTGATCAGTTACATAATCATATTATAGATCAATATAGAAAGTGTTTGAAATGATTTCTCAGTATTGTTTATTTCATTGTTATCATTCTTTTATTCTTTCTCTTTTTTTTCTCACTTTTTTATATATATACTACTGAATTACTTATTTTGATTTGCACATATTCAAATACATGCATATACATATATATAATGTAAATTTCTTCATTAGTAATTTTGTATGAACAAGGAGTTTATAGATAAACAATCATATTACTTATTTGGGTGACTTCCTTTCTTTCGAATGTATATTACAACCAGCAACCAGCAAGATCATTCTGGAGATATCTCAAGAATTTGAATGAACAACAGTCTTAGTGTTATAACTTGTGAACCTGTGTACCCTATTTATTGTATAACGCAACAATACCGCCAATCAGAGTGCAGTGAATTATCGATCGGACCAATGACGTCATAAAACCCATGCGAGTAGTCTAGAGTCCTGATTGATCCTGCTTTCCGCCTAGCCCAAACCAGTTAAGTCCAGAACACCAATCTCAGCCTCTGCAATATGAATCCTTATATTTCAAACATTCTGGGTTTATATACCAACCAGACAGACCACATCGTACCAATAAAATATGAAACACCATTTGTACAAGATCTAGCTAAATGTGACTATGAGTGAGGAAGGTAGTACTTAATAGACAGGGCATAATTCAAGAATGGTAAATCGTATAATAATAGTTCATAGGTCAAAATAAAGCTTATGACAAAAGGAACACGAATATGAATAGTTTAGTTATTTAACAATGATACGATAGAAATATACGTTTAGTATTGGTCCATAAAAAGGATCCAAAAAGTTACCATTTATTATGCTTATCGGGACATAATACTTGGTAACTTGAGACTCTGATCATAGAGCCCAAAGGCTAACTGCTTGATATTAGTCATTCAGAAACTTTCTATATATAGTTTTATATATGTTAGATTCTTAATTTTCAAGTTCTATCATCAAAGATAGGAATTCATAGGGAAGGATGAGGTGAGTTCAAATTTACTAGCCTTCTCCTCAATTTGTGGAAATACAGTATAGGTAAAGGTAATGTTTAATGGTTGACACATTCTTGTTCATTTAGGTGTATATTTCCTTTTGACTTTTAATTTTCAGCTTTTTGTCTTACCACTCTCCAGCTAATCTGCTTAACATCATGAGATCTAAATGAAATGAATGTTTTGGTCAAGAAAGCTTATTATGATATACCATCTCGAGCATCCATTGAACGTAGAATTTTTGAATAGCTTAGTGTTAGTGTTTCAGGTCATAACACTTCAATAAGTATTTAAATCTAATAGAGAATATTAGTTCTCTCGAAACTGAAAGTAACCCTTTCCGACAAGGGCTAACCGTTACAAAACTAATCTTTAGGGTTTTAACTCGATGCATTCAACTACCTAATATATCAAGTTGAGCCTAGAATGACTTTTCTCATAGTGTTTCATGAATTGATCTAGTAACAAACGTAGTATTGTCAAAAACCAACTTCTGATAGAAATTCACCCAAAAGTAATCAGAAATGACCAATATAATAACTCTCCATATTTTCGATTTGTTTGATGGTTGTTAGTCATTAACGATATGAGAGTTAACACCAGCACAAGTTGATACACTTTAAATCATCATTTTGAAAAATCAACATACAGTGAATAGTTGTTTCCTTTTCATTTGGAACTTCTTACGATTGGGAATACATGAGCTTAGATGAGATTCAACCTATGACCTTGTAGTCCGGTAGACACGAACTGTGAAATTCAACCATAGAACTGAACGATCTGCATGATAATTTTCCAATACCATTGATAATAACAATTTCATTTTCGATATGTTTGAGCCTTACCAGGTATGATATCTACCTAGAATTCCAGAAATTCATCTTTGATACTTACCTACTTGCGCCTGTTAATCCCAATCGAGCATAGACCGCCGACCAGCATTCTCCAGCCCATTCTGTTCGCAGCCTTTCTTTCTAGTTCTATCCAATCGTTGTTCATTGTTCTCATATCTGTCTCTATTTATCGGTGGAATGTGTTCTTTGGTTTTCCTCTTCTCCTTTGGCCTTGAGGATTACAAGTGATGAGGACTTGCCTTGTAACGCAGTTGGGTTCATTCCTCAATGTGTGTCCTATCCACTTCCAGAACTTCTTCCTGATTTCTTCCTCCTCTGAAATCTAGTTTGTTCTCTCCCATAGTAGGTTGTTGCCAATAGTGTAGTGTCTGGTCAACGTATCCGAAGTATTTTGCATAGATAACTGTCAACGAACTTTTTGTATGTTGTGGTTGATGGCTTTCGTAGTTCTCCATGTTTCCACCCCATACAGTAGAACTATCTTGAAATGCGTATTGAAAATTCTGACTTTGGTGTTGGTTGATAGACAGTTGTTTAGAGTTTCAGATGTTCTTCAATTGTAGATATGCTGTTATTGCTTTGCCGATCCACACCTTCACGTCTGTATCAGATCCACTGTGTTCATCAATGATTCTGCCCAAATATGTAAAGGTTTTGTTATACGGTCCTGAATGAGCACTACTGAGGTTTCCCATGTTAAAATTAATATGCTACCTGGCTTTTTCTGATTTTCAATGCTGGATAAATACCACCCATAAATCAAACTAATTATAATAAAATATCTCGATAATCATATATTATAGTATCCTCATTGATAGCTTGCTTCAGGGTGAGTTCTCAAATTTCCAGTGAAGAGTTTTGATTTAGTGAAGTCAGATGGTGATCACCAATTAATGATAGTGAATTACTGTCACGCCATATCACAAATCAATTAAAGTTAGAAACGTAAAACACTGGATATCATCTCAGTGATGTAAGGGTTGAAGACTTATCTCGAGACTGAATTATCTTAGGTTTATTCCGTATCAAGGACATAGGTATCTACTACCAAGCAGTCTCAAACTACTACGAAACTGCCATATAGTACTCCTTCTAGTTTTCAATGGCCCCTCAACTAACATTCATCAATGACAAGAATAAACTTCACTTTGAGCTGACCATCATAAATCTTTAATCTGAAAAATGAACATTAAACCGATACGTTCACCATTGATTGATCTCTGGATGGTGATCAATTTCATGTATGTCAGGTCCTTCTTAGTACAGATCGAATCCTATCGACCGAGTTGCAATGTGGCCACCAGTACAGATGACTCGACATTGCGTGCACTATGTTGAGATAAGATGATGGTTGGAGGTAGTCAACAGGAAATCCTGAACCTAGGCTTTGTGCTATTTGGTACTCGTCAGCAAGGTTTACCTGTAATCTTGAGAGGACTTATGCTCTCTGACGGATTCAGTCCCATGTTACCCAGCTTCACAGTTAGATACATTACCACTAGGCTATCCAGGCTGCGACTGACTTTCTGTAGGATTGAGCTGTATTCACAATACATTACACGCACATAAATAGTTTAAGTATTTTATTAAATAAGAAGACATTAGTGAATTCAATACATTTCTTATAAGGTTGCAATAAAAAGCAGTCGTTTATAAATTTCCATTACTAGTACATTGATTCATTTTTAGCAACAGTTCTGAAATGTATAAAAGGATAAAACAGAAAAGCCCATTCAACAATGGAAAGAAGAATAAAATTAAGATGAACAGTAATATTAGAATCAGTTGTAAGGGATATTCCGCCACTGATTCGTCCACAAAGCACAGACTTTTTTACCCAACATTTCCTCATATAGTTATTGTAAGGGCTGAAGATATAAGTAGATTCCTTATATAAGCACATAAAACCAGTAAACATTGTACACGGAGGGTCTACCTATGGGGGACTGGAAAACCCTGATTCCAAATCAATGATGAACATGGTCTTCAGGATCTTGAGGGAATCAAAAGTGTATGAACCTATTGTTGGTCACCGACCACCATAGGATCACATTTCCTCACGTTGCTTCACTGCCTTATGGATTAGACCTTTACGTCAAAGGCTCCAGGTGTGGCCTCCTATGAAAACCACCTGCTTCGGTTTGGGCACCCGGGCAGTATCTCAACCCTTATAAAAATGAACTATAACTACTACTGGCCTCATTGTTATTGTGTCGCGTATGTGTATTTAGTACTCCCTGTACCAGTGTTTATGTCTTCAAGTAAATAAATTATAGATAGTACACCGGTTTCACCCTTGTATAGGACTCATGAGTGACAATGCAGACGCACGACCACATCAGTGATCGAACCCAGAACTTTTAAGTCCCGTAATGAGTGTTTAAAATTTAGACCTATAAGTCGGTTACCAATGATTAATGTGTCTAACTTCAATCAACCTATGACATTATGTAACTATATTCCAACGATATAGGTGAGTAATTCCCTCAAACCAGATATAGTTGAACTCCATTGAATATAGAGTCTCTCACAGAGCCAAGAGAATCACATCTTGAAATTAGTCATTAGTGAGGGCATAATTACTAATTACTAATGCAGGAGGTATGTAGGGCTTATTGAATTGTATAGTTTGAATCTTAAAATTGAAAGAAACAACTAACTAGTGCTTTCTGATTTTCAGTGGTTGCTCGACTGAATTCACTCCATAATGTAAATAAATAAACAATTTCCACAAATTTCCCACACTAACTACTTGATTGGCTAAACTGATTCAAGAGGACCTGGGTTTGAGTTGATGACCGAATGGTTGAAGGTTGAATTATTCAACTACTATACCTTGAATGCTGAGCAAATTAGTAATTCAGTAGTAAACTAATGGATAAACTTCTGTCATTTGACGTATATAATTTTGACTCTCTGAAAGAACATCACTATTGAATTTCACAGTTGATAGGTCCTTAGTATGAGGAGATGCTGATTTCTAATCAGCTATTTACTACTATCTTAAAATATAATCAGTAACCATAATGTGTTTACTTAACTTTTATGTTTTTTGTCAGTATAGGTCTGTAGAGTTTAGTAAGTTATTGATTAAGACCACCATTGAAAATCTGGAAGCACTGGACTGCCGTTTCGTCCCATTGTGGAACTCCTCAGCATTGCGTATCCAAGATACCGCTCGCGGGATTTGAACCGAGGGCCTTCAGTCTTGCGTGTGAACGCTCAACCTACTAAATCACAGAGCCGGTATTCAATGGTGTTAATGTTTAACCTCAACCAATCCACAAAATCGCGCTACCATCTTCCATTGTACAGAGGTAGATACCTGTCTCTACCCGGTGTTCAATCAGTCACTACAAAATGTAATGAAGGAATAATGAATTAATAATCTACATTCTAACTTACCAAAAAGATCCTAAACATTTCCATCTCTGATGATTTTGTTGTATGATAAGCTGAATAATGCGTTTCATTCTATAAAGTAGACAAAATATGGAATGTATTCAATTACATATATATATGAAGTTTTGAGATACTTGAATTCTCAAAGCTTACATTACGAACTGATTTTAATTAGATAGTTATTAAAAACTAGGAAGCATTGTTCCATCCTAGTTTAGAACTCAATAGTTCACATTCACGACCTCATTGAGGATCGAACTCTGAATCTTCGATTTCGCAGCTAGAACATAACCACAAAACAATCAAGCCAATATCTAATAGTGTACATATCAAATTTGAATCAATTAAAGACATTTCGGGATCATGTTTAGTTAGATTCAGTGAATGACTGTCTTACACTAGATATAAATGGCATCTCAATAGAATTCCTGGAATTACATCTCGAAACTTAACTACGATTAGTCCGTGGTATAAACTATATAAATAACGAGAGTTTAGTTTAATCATGATGATGAATAATAAGGTACAGAATGACAGAATACGGTTCAAGTCCGTCGATAGCTCAGTTGGTATAGCGGAGGACTGTAGATTGGTGCAGTGATTCTTAGGTCGGTGCTTCGACGCATGCTTCAAAAAATGTTAGTCTCTGTTATGATATCATGAAAGACTAATTAACGTATTTATGAAAAGCATCAACTGAAAATGGATAACTAATGAGATTATAAATGAAAATACAAAACAGTTCAAGATGATATCCATTACGGATCGATGTTTAAATTTTTCCTCCTATACATTGCAGAAGGGTGGAAACTTGGAGAAATACGAAAGCAATCAACCATTTAAACTCTGCTCTCCTAGTTGAATGATCGTCATTCAGAAGAATTACGACGTCTCATGGTGATACCCCTTCTAACAACCAAAACAACAATTAATATAGACACATAGAATGTTAAGACAATATGAGGAGATGCAACTCGACTATGTTCAGAAACAGTAGAACCCATTGGACAGAAAAGGATAGATTCAGAGAGATGCCGTTGTACTCTGGTCACGAAGAATAAAATGCTCTACACGCTCAGGGAGTTGCTCTGATTCTGTTCAAAGAAGTACATGAAGCACTTATAGGATGGGAATCTAATGGATCCATGATCATCAAAGCATTCTTCGAAACAAAGTCGGATGGAATAACAATGAATGTTATCCAATGTGTTTCACCTACCAATGATAGCAGTGACGACGATAAAGATCAGTTTTATGGAGACTGCAATCGATCATAAAGAAGTGCTCACGAAAGGACCTCACAATCTTGATGGACGACCTAGACTTCAAAATTGGAATGGACAACATCGGGTATGAAGATATTAGGATGTGATATAGACTGACCGGAAGAAAGAAACGAGAATGGTGAGGGATTCGGAAGTTGATGTGCATTAAACAAAATCGTTATAGGTGGCACAATATTCCCACACAAACGCTTACACAAAGCTGCATGAGTCTCACCGAAACACATTACGGAAAATCAGACAGATCATATTTTCATCAGTAAAAAATTCACAAGGTCAATGGAAAATGTGAGAACCTGAAGAGGAGCTGACATAAATTCGAATCAACACCTGGCTGTGGTTAAAATGAAAATGAAGCCAAAGAAGCATTGGACAAATGGATAAACAGTATTACAAAAATTCAATACAGCCTTCCTTCGACATACTGACAAACTCAACGAGTTCAAGATAACTCTCAACACCAAGTCCCAAGCCTTACAAGATCTACTCACAGAATAAGAAACTACTATGGAGGACAATTGGAAAGGGATCAAATAAGCACTAACCTCAACGTATCAGGAGGTTCTGAGCTTCAAGAAGCATCACCATAACGAGTGGATCTCTATCGAAACATTGGGTAGGATTCAAGAAAAGAGGAGCCAGAAGACAGCAATTAACAACAGTCACACAAGAACAGGAGATGTCAAGGCACAAGCTGAACACACTGAAGCAAACAAGCAAGGGAAGAGGAGCATTAGAACCGACAAGCTAGCAACGACAGGGGGAAAAGCCTCAAGAGAAGGAATTATGAAACAACAATATGACACGACGAAGAAACTGTCAGGGAAATGTAGTAAACCAAACCGAGGACAAAGAAAGCCATTCATCACTGAGATTCAAGAACATAGGAACAGTTTGAAGAACTCTTGAATAAACCAGTCCCACTGAACCCATCAGAGATCAAAGCAGCACCTACAGACCTTCCTGTAGATGTGATGCAACGAGCAAACGAAAAAAATCAGGATGACCATCAAACAAATCGAGAGGGAGAAAGAAGCAGGACTAGATGCCAGTGTTTGAACCCAAAGTATTTATTTTCGGACTCAAGTCCTTAACCTTTAAACCACTAAATTAACATCCAATGGTTCATATTTCAACCCAGCCTATAGTCCCTCTGGGGGTTACTGCCGGTATCAAGCCCGGATAAAGGAGGGGGGTTGGACATGGGGTTAGCAACCCCATCCCGTAAAAAACTAACTCGCTAAAAAACACTAATCTAAGTAAGATTCACATTTCCACACTTATAATATTTCCTATTTTTTAGGTGGTATCCCTGACTAATGCCAGATCATAAAGAACAACTACTAATAAACTCAAAAATTCTCCACAACATCTTCCTAAATAAATATCCTTTGTCAGAATGGGTTTTATGGAGCTTTTTAGAAATTTCACCGGTTGAAATCATGAGTCAATTGAAGCTAGACCACCATGGAAAACCTGGAAGCACTGAACGGCCGTTTCGTCCTAGTGTGGGACTCCGTTACCAGTGGATTTCAACCAGGTCTGTTGTGAGATAGTTGGTTAAGCGCCTGGCGTGAGACTGGTAGGTCTAGGGTTCGAATCTCGCAGGGGGTGGGACTGTGGATGCGCAATGCTGAACAGTCTCGTACTAGGACGAAACGGCCGTCCGGTGCTTTCAGGTTTTCCATGGTGGTTTAGCTTCAATTGACTCATGATTTCAACCAGTGAAATATCCTTTGAACTATTCAACAGATGATTTTTATTATTTTCTTACTTTGACGATGGTGAAGTTGGTGTTAACTTATTGAATCCAATCGATATTGGCTTTCCTTGTAAACTTTGTATTAAATAATTTGAAGATAATTCATTTATGGATGATCCATTAATCAATATTGGTATACCTAATCCATTGATTAAATAAATTATTCGAGCTAAGCTTTCAGATGTGACAAATTCCTATGGAAAAAAGAAGAAGAAGAAGAAGAAGATTGTTACTGTGGGGGAGGGATGTGGAAATGATTGATATTTTTTTCTAGTTTACATCATGGATAGACCTTAAATAGACAATCATTGTATGCCTATTTAGTTCCAGTATGAGACACATTATTTGTGCCAGTGATTTGAACCAACCAGGTAATGAACCCAAGACTTCTAGGTCTTGTAGCCGATGCTTACCCTTCAGATGAATGACCTTGTATCTTATGGTTTATATTTACAGCTTCCAACCAATTCATAATGTTTCTCAATCATTCTGTAATATCACTACTGGGTAATTTCCTCTATTCCTATATGATTTAACTCCGTTATACTCACTATACAGGTTATCACTAAGACTCAAGTAGTACTTTAATCGACAGAGGATTGAGGCATGTAACCCGTTCCAGACTATAATCTTACTTACTTACTTACGTCTGTTACTCCCAGTCGAGCATGGACCGCCGACCGGCATTCACCAACCCATTCTGTTCACAGCCTTCCTTTCTACATCTATCCAATTATTGTTCATTGTTCTCATATCTGTCTCTATTTATCGGTGGAATGTGTTCTTTGGTTTGCCTCTTCTCCTCTGGCCTTGAGGATTCCAGGTGATGATAGCTTGTTTTGTGACGCAGTTGTGTGCATTCCTCGATGTATGTCCTGTCCACTTCCAGCACCTCTTCCTGATTTCTTCTTCCACTGGAATGTGGTTTGTTCTCTCTCACAGTAGGTTGTTGCCAATAGTGTAGTGTGTGACCAACGGATCCGAAATATTTTGCATAGACAACTGTGAATAGACACTTGTATGTTGTGGATGATGGCTTTCGTAGTTATCCATGTTTGCGCCCCATACAGTAGAACTGTTTTGACATTTGTATTGAAAATTCTGACTTTGGTGTTGGTTGATAGACAGTTGTTTTGAGTTTCAGATGTTCTTCAATTGTAGATATGCTGTTATTGCTTTACCGATCCACACCTCCACGTCTGTATCAGATCCACTGTGTTCATCAGTGGTGCTCTGCTTGGAGCTCTTCTGGGGCCAATGTCGGTCCCAAGCCCGGATGAAAGAGCAGGGTTAGGCATAGGGTTAGCGACTCAATTCCTTAAAAAATACTCTAACCAGAAAATATAATTTAAACCAAACTATAGTAAGGATACTTCAATTCACTATGAATGGTATCAAGCTTACATATCATCATCTTTCTACAGGTTTTATTCAAACAAACTACTTTTAATTTACAAGTCTGACACCTAACTAACTAAGTCAAACCATTCATCTATTAATCATTATTAAAAGACAAAATCAGCATAAAAATCTTCATTGACAATAAATTCTTGTAACTTTGTAACCTTCGATGTAATTTTTTTCAATCTTAAACGAATTATTCATAATCAGAAGGGGCTTATGTGGATATTATAGTAGTTTTAGTTGTTGAGATCATGAGTCAATTAAAGGTAGACCATCTATTAAAAACTTGGAAGCACTAGATGGCCGTTTCGTCCTATTGTTGGACTCTTCAGTAGTGCGCATCCACGATCCCGCTTCACGGGATGCCCGTTCGCGCACGAGACCGATAGATCCTGGGTTCGAACCGCGCGAGGTGAGATCATGAATGCGCACTGCTGTGGAGTCTCACAATAGAATGAAATGGACATCCACCTTCAAATGACTCATGATCTTAACTATTAGAATGATTTATAATCAGAACTTACATTTTTCATTTTATTAGATCCATTCAATAGATAAATTAGATCTGGTTCATATTCATAGGATATTGGTAAAATTATATGATATAACATTGATAGTAAATTGATCATATTTATATCATCATGAAAAGTTTGCGATTGTAATTTCTCATTTGCATCATTCACTGTTTCACTCATGTTGTCAATGTTTTCTATTCTGATTGGAAAAGGGATTTTAAGCCAAACTACATGATGTATCTCTAATTCATTATTATTAGATACTGAATCAGAAGTATAGAAATCTTTAGCGCGTAATTCATTCAGTTTGGTCAATAATTGATTTGCTACATTACCATAATAAACTGAACACCAAATGAAACTGTAATAAAAACAAATTCATAAGTTAGATCTATTTTTTCAAAAAAGAACATTAAGGATCTTTCAATTGATGTTGTTTCCTGGTATCTTCCCATAGATCTCTTTAGGATTGTAATTGATCATCCGTCTCTTATTGACATCTGTGTATCCTGTGCGAACTGCCTCGATATTGTCTTAAGTTACAAGTATTATAAGCATAAATGGATAGTGGCTAGTTAAACGGAAAGTGCTATATTGTTTGAAATGAACGATACTGGGTTCGAATCGCAGAGTGAACATGAATTCACTAATGCAGGTACATCGGGTTGACGAGTCCTGAATAAGACGAAGTGGAGCGTGTTTTGAATTCCACTATCATCCACCATCCATCTTTGCCTGTAGCAAAAATAGTTGTATTTATATGAAATACATGAAATCTGTCGAATGAAACCTTGTTGTAATACAAATAAAATATTTATCTACCTGTTAAATGATGAGTACACTGCTCAGTAGTTCATTGTATGGAATCCATAACGCACGTTTTGTCCCATTTGGAACTCGTCAGTTGAATGTACCTACATCTCAGACTTGTTGATGTTCACTCTAAGACTCGAACTCAGTATCATTCACTTCAAACACCATTAAGTTATCCATCTAGCTACTGAGTCCTGATAGCCATTTGATTGTACAATAAGTAACTATTAAAAATTTTTGGTGCATGATTCTGGAGAAGAATTTCCATCTACATTTTTACACACTTCAACACTTCTTAACCTTAATCCCATTGGTAACCGGATCAAGAATGATGATTATTTTACGTTTAAACCATATGATCATAATCAAAATTATTCATATTTCTAAATTCAATTAATTCTATATGATTATCTCAACATGTGCTCGCTAGCGAATAGCTTCGTGAGGGAATTCTCGGAGTTCTAGTATGAGGCCGTGACCAGTGGAGCCAATCCATGTCGGGTGGAGACAAGTATCTACCTCAGTACAATGGAAGTTGGTCGCGCAATTTCGTGGATTGGTTGATGTTAGACACTATCAACATTGGATGCCGGCTCAGTGATCCAGTAGGTTAAGCGTTCGCGCGCGAGACCGAAGGCCCTGGGTTCGAATCCTGCTAGTGGACGAAAAGGTCATCCAGTGCTTCTAGGTTTTCCATGATGGTCTAGCTTCAATTAACTCATAATCTCAATTATTAACACTTAAAACATTGCAATAATGATCTAATGTTGATCAATTGTCTTAGACTTCATTGTTCCTTCATTTCTACATCAATCAGTCTATGTTCTCATTCTCTTCTCTTTGATTTTCTTAACCTTCTACCTCTAGATATTTCATTTACAACTAGTGATACACACTACGTATATAACTGTCGATATCAGTAGTATATATTTATTTATTTTAACACATAGATATTGGTACAAGGAGGCACCAAATATATATGCACCACATAAATCTCATTTGATATGTGTGAGGGCTGTGATATTGCCCGGGTGCCCAGACTGAAGCAAGTGGTTTTCTTAGGGGGCCACACACAGAGCCTTCGACCTGAAGGTCTGATCCATAAGGCAGTGGAGCATTGTAAGGAGATGCAGTCCCATGGTAGCCGGTCACAAATAATAGGTTCATACTCCATTTGTTCCCTCAGGGTGCTGGAGCCCATGTACATCATTGGTTTGGGATCCGATTAAAGCGCCGGATATACTATACAATGAATTAGAAACTATAACTAAACATCTTATCTAATACTTTTTAATTGTTTTAATTTAGTTTATGAATGAACTTCTCATTGAGAATATTTATAAATGGTTGTTTTTATTCAAATTACCTTATTCATTCCTTAATTGTTTCATTCATTCATTCATTCATTTAAATTATGTAATTGTTTATGATGAAATACATTAAAACAAAATAAGATTATTTAATCTAATTCAATGTTTACATAAATTACTTGCTATTTATAATTCATTCATTGTAAACAACTTAATTTGATTTATTATTCATTATATAATAATAATAATAATACTATTACTAATACTAATACTAGTAATACTGTGATGTGAGTTACTTATATGCACACAAGTAGTATATAACGGTGGTCAGCCATAGAATGTATTTCAGTAGAAGATCGATGAGGAAAGAATGGGAACGGAGCGCAATTGATATTGCGTCGGCTGTGGTGAGTGCTGTCGACGGAGTGGAGCGGCGGAAAATGAGGATGCTGGGCGGACGTCGGATGTAGATGACTCAGCAGGCCGCTCGAGCTCAGGCGTCGAACGCCCCGGATGCCGGGAGGATGTCGGATGTTGTAGCCCCGGAAGGTCGATGGAGCTATGGAGGTCAGTGTGCCGCAGACTCGACATTTTGACGGAGAGTGTGGCACGGACTGCAGAAAAGAAGAAAGTAGCACGGCGAGCAGAACCACTGCAAGAACGAATGCTTTAAAGGGGAAGGGGGACGAGTGTGGTGTTACTTATATTCACACAAGTAGTATATGACGGTGGTCAGCCATAGAATGTATTTCAGTCGAAGATCGAGAAGGAAAGAAAGGGAACGCAATGCAATTGGTATGAAAATACATGAACAATGATATTTTGCAAATGAACTATTTACTATTTATGGTTCCCAGATTTTATTGAGATGCTCTGTAATTTTGTGCTCAAATACATTCGATTATCTCCACTCTTGTTCTTGTCCACTACAACAATACTAATAATACTGATACTAGTAATATCAATACCAATACCAATGCTAATACCGATGCTAATAATAGTAGTAACACTCATACGAATAATGTTAATACTGATAATACCAATGCTCACACTACTAATACTAGTACTAATAATACTACTAGTAATAATACTTATGCTATTACTAGTGACAATCATACTAATACTAATAGTATTGATAATACTGATACTGCCAATACTAATAGTACTGATACTACTAATAATACTAATACTAACGATACTACTGTTCATAATACTACTAATACTACTAGTATTAATACTAATGGTACTAATACTAACACCAATACTGCTAACAATACTAATACTAATACTCATATTAGACATATTAGACATTAATATCATTTGATGCCGGCTTAGTAGTCTAGAAGGTAAGCGATTGTGTGCAAAGCTAATAGGTTCTGGGTTCGAATGTCGTGAGAGGGACTGTGGGTGCCCACTTTCCATATCTGTTCAGAGTATATTAACTTTTGTATAATATTCAGTATAGGGATTGTGATTATCAAGTTTTTGATGGAGATCATGAACCGATTGATGCTAGACCATCATTGAAAACCTAAAAGCACTGCACAGCCGTTTCGTGAGAAGCCATGACCACTAGAGCTAATTCGTGTCGGATAGAGACAGGTATCTACCACAATGCAAAGGAAGATGGTCACGCGATTTCGTGGATTGGTTGAGGTTAAACATTAACACCATTGGATACCGGCTCAGTGATCTAGTAGGTTGAGCGTTCACGCGCAAGACTGAAGGCCCTGTGTTCGAATCCCTCGAGTGGGATCGTGGATGCGCACTGCTGAGGAGTCCCACAATAGGACGAAACGGCCGTCCAGTGCTTCCAGGTTTTCAATGGTGGTCAACAAATTACATCATAACCTTAGTAAATAAAAATTCAATATAATCAGTGTGACTTGATAATTACATATTTATTTTAACACAAATATTGGTACAAGGAGGCACCAAATATATATGCACCACATAAATCTCATTTTATATGTGTGAGGGCTGTGATACTGCCCGGGTGCCCAGACCGGAGTAAGTGGTTTTCTTAGGGAGCCACACACGGAGCCTTCGACCTAAAGTCTGATCCATAAGGCAGTGGAGCATTGTAAGGAGATGCAGTCCCATGGTAGCCGGTCACAAACAGTAGGTTCATACTTCATTCGTTCCTTCAGGATACTGGAGACCATGTGCACCACTGGTTTGGAATCAGGGTTTACCAACTCCCCTAGGTGGACTCTCCGTATCCACCAACCCGGTTAAAGTGCCTGACGGACATTCTCTTTTCGTCCTCTCGATTTCGTAAACAACACCCTCGCCACGAGCAGGCAGTGAGTAGGACTTACATGGCAGAGGCTATATACGCGTGACCATGTGAGAGCATTTGGAGAGAGAGAGAGGACTCTCCTCACTCTTGGCCGTATGTAGGGCATTTGGGGGCTGGATCGTTTAATCTTGGAGCTTTCATCATACTTCTGAACGACATTATCAGCATAAACTTCAAATAGAAGTGAAATGTTCGAATTTATTCATATATAGTTCATAGCTTATCCTGTATACCTCGATGTTGATTAGTTCTTGTTGACCATAAACTTGTCATTGTTTACTTCTTTGTTTTGGTTATATCTCTCATTGGTTTGATTTTTGATTCAATGATGAAATGTTTAAATGTATGCGATTAACTAGTTAAAAATAACTATTAAATTAAATAATAATACTGATTAACTGTTATTCTCAGTAACAGGCAGGTCACCCAGATGTACTTAGTAAAACATTCACTTGATGTTTGTTTACATGTATCTCCCCATTGTTATTTAGAACTGCAATTGATCGGTCTCTTGTTGGTATATGTGCATCCTGTACGGATTACCTCGATATTGTCTTCGGTCACAAGCATTATAGGCAAAGATAGATAGTAGCTAGCAGTGGATGTACATATGCCAACAAGAGACTGATCAATTACAGTTCTAAATAACAATAAGAAGATACAAGTAGAACAACACTAAGTGAATATAACTTCATCCAATCGCACTAGCAAGTGGTATCAGGACTCAGTAGCTAAGTAGATAACACAATGACGTTTGTAACAAACGGTGCTGAGTTCGAGTCTCAGAGTGAACATCAACAAGTCTGAAATGCAGGTACATCCAGCTAACGAGTCCCAAATACGACGAAACGCGCGTCTTGAATTCCACTGCCACCTACTTTCCAGCTTTGCTTAGTTAGACAGCCTCACGACAATGAAAAATTCAAAAGATGTGTA